AGTAACAACAACGCCTTGGACATTTTCCAGTAAAGACGAACTTGAAGAGTCACCTTTTCTTCTCTTCGTACAGTAGTTTGTCATTATTAACATATTGATGTTTGATGATTGACTGATGTCCTATGACAGCTTTCTTTGTTACAATGTTGTTTAATTATTAAGGGAAGAGTATGTTCTATTGAACTCGCTGTCTTTTTTGCTTGTGTCGAAGTTGAATTGATGCGTGGCATGTTTTTTTCCGTCTCTCCTCCTTAATGGGGACGTACACAGAATTTAGTCGGCATCGCTCACCAAAGTTACGCAGGTAATTGCCACAGAATATTCTAGCCAATGTGTTAGTTAGTTTTCAGACTCAACGACGCAACTAATGTGATATTGTCTTCTTCCTAGCATGCTACTGATATCCTCTTTTTTCTTGTTCAAAATACACGATGGACTTGTAAATTAATTGTCTGGACATTCTCTTGTATAGTGTTTGAAAACTTCGAGGATCACTGCTTGATTACCTTAAAATATGCAGTGCAAGCGGCTTAACTGAAAACATATAGAGTGAAATCCATACACAGTATACTTTAACGAGTAACTCTATAGTAAATACAAGCTAGTCCATGCATTCAGAAGCAATCTAAAGTTCAGTGCTTTCTCTTACATCATTTTTGCGTTTTTCTTTCATAAAACATGATCTCTGAAGAGATTTGAACTGCCCATGAGCCGTGGTTGTGCGCAATATGCATAATGCGATGCATCCGTGCAAACATCTTTATTCGGTCGTGAGATCAATTAGGTCATAATGGTAGTCCTGATTGATTTTATATTATAGCTGAATTACTTATTTATTAACAAATACGGTCAGGCATCACACTGTATTTAATCTTAATAATTTGTTCTCTATTAATTTTATCAGCGTTGGAAAGGCGTGCATCGCAACTTTTCTATTATTTGCAACGTTGGTGTAATCTTACATGCTGGGAGGGATTCATAAGACCTCGGAATATTATTGATGCCAGAGAACTGTTCAGTTTGCTGGATGTATTTTTAATTATAGTCATGAAAGAGGCTATATTCAAATCGGTCAGTCCGCTAGAGTGGTCTGAAGTATAAAGACTCTAAGTTAATTGTAGGGGTTACCTTGCAAATGCGAATAGTCTTTTCTAATAATTTGAATGTTGGTTCACTTTGGCTTCGAGACTATAATGATCGGGACGAAGCTTATCATTTTGCGAAATTTGCGAAAATCACTATTTATTACTCTTAAGTTCTTCGTGAGTATTCGAAAATAATGTGGCACTCCATTGACATTAATTAATGTTATTTCGTGTTTTACTTAGCACATGGATGTATTTCACTATTTGTCATCGGCTTTAACTGTTCTTTTCGCTATTAGATAATTATGTTGCCCTTCTAATTTTCTCCCTTTTACTTTTTATCATTCAGATCCATATCCCATCTTACTTTGTCTAAAGTTTATTTATTTCATCGTAATCTTTTGCTTTACAACTTTGTGTGGTTTATGATTTTTTGCTTGCTACCTTCACTAGACAGTTTTCCATTTAGTACTCTACTCACGAGTCCGGAGTCTTGTTTTGCTATTGGATGTAACACCTGTTGAGCTAGCTTTGTCCGTATGGCTGCTAGGACTCTGTTCTTTCCTGCGCCATGGATAGTAATCTCGAGTCTTAGTACACGTGCAGAACGATAATCGAGATTTCTCAAGTTCAAACAAAGGTGTGGTGGGTTATTCGGTTCCGATTCTGGAATTTTGAGAGGTTTCGAGTAGCGAAAGTTTTTGCTCACATGTGGCAGGGGTAGGCCTCCTCTCACCATGGTAGAACATATAATAAAACTCTACTTCATTCGCGTATAATTCTTCGGCTAAAGTCGAAGAATCAATTGACAAAAGCGTATTTGTGCAATACAGTAATTTGATTTAGTTGCTGGATTTACTGCAATTCAAAAATGTATTGTGATTGATCTGATTTCGTTGCTTCTGAGTCTGAGAGCGCTCAATCGCGAGAGTGTTTTTTTTGCCTGCTGTGAGGTCAAAGGTCAAGGTCGCTAGAGCTATGAATTTAAACTACATTTTTATAATGTCAGGTATGGGTTGTTAAAGCCTAAGATGATGAAAATCAAAGGTATTTGGGTGCATAATTTGGTTCTTGTTTGTTCTATGGGTTTTATAAAAATTTGAAGATGATATTTAATACGATCTTCTTAGCCTACAGCACCTCTGTTTGTGAGTTGTTCGTACGGGGCCAAAGGAAGTAAGAAACCTCTGTGTCTATTGTAGGCTAACAATTGATTTACATATTATAGGGGATTACCTGAACATAGAGGAAAATTGGCGTGTTACTCTCAGTATCTGTTATGCAAAAGTTAGTCTATAAAGTAAGAAGAAACAACATTTGCGGTTCTTTCGTTGTCTTGTATGCAGACTGTGCAAGCTAGATGAAGAAGACTTGATAACTGTTGGAATCTATTTTAGCATTAAAGTTATCACAGTATTGAGAACATACGAGATCTAGAGGATGGGTTATGTATATGTAAAGTGGTGTTATTTACTATATCACATAAAATATAGGCGCTCTTGTTGTTGTAAGCAGTGACCTCTAGAGTTCACGCTTTATCGTGTTTTTTAATTAAGAATGCTATATTTTATCTAGATCGATACGCATGCTAGTTGGTAGCGTAGCTAGAACTATATTCTAATGGCTCTTCATGAATTCATATTTCACATATTATCTGGTTCTATAGTGAAGTTCTCAAATCTATTTCTGTTCTCTTAACGTATCTTCTCGGCTGTTCTTCTTTACAACATTGGATTGTTCACAGTCATTGCATTACTTAAGTTTTATGTTGTTTTTTTCTCATCTTCGATTAAATAAGCTTTGCGCAAGACTATACGTCGAGTATTTTACAGCAGAATGGTAAATTAAATATTCATCTGAACGTGTGTCATGAGAAAATTGCTTTGGTATAGGGAACTGTGATTTATACGACACAAGTGTTTTCTTACGAATTATGGTTCTCAGTCTTTTTTTTGGGTATTCTTTCTTCGAGAATTAGCTTGTTCCATAATTCTAACGGTTAACGTAATTTGAATAGATAGTCGTAATTATATAGGTATATTGTATGAAGCGAATTGGAAGCGGGTGCAGCTGTTGCTTCGGACGAATAGCATGCACGAAAGATCATCTGCTATTAGTTTTTCAAAACAAAGATTTATATTATTTTTTGGCTTGCAAAGTTCTGTGATTTTCTCATTAACGTTTAGTGTTTCATATATTGGCAAAGGAAATGTTGAAGAGTGGCTACTTTAGTACGTCTAGGCTACAAGGGACATTCGTAAAATCATCTTATAAGATATGCATCAGTATTTAGGTATCATTTGGTTCTCGTGTAACAAGTTCTTGTGTCTTTTTTCGTGGCATTGTGGTAGAAATAGTTGTGTCCAATTGATAGACTATGTTTTTGGAAATTATTATTTTTACAGCGGAGGACGTGAATGATTAGATCGTAGGAACCCAAGGCTTATATTACGTGTAATATGTTTTGAGATAAATGGTAAATTCTTGATAGGATCATAGTTTTGTTCTTGTCCAGTCAGTTGATACATATGGAGCTTCCTGAACCAAGGCCAAGTTCAGTTTGTCAAAAATAGCAAAACCGTGATGCAAATCGCTAGAAGTAGGTCTAGAGAGTAGATTACAAGTTAATGGAGTCT